GGCTACGTTCAGTGTGACTTAGTTGTTCCAGATAAGCTAAAATCAAAATTTGCCAATTTTCCTCCAATTTTCAAGGACACTGAGGTTGGAAGAAACGATATTGGAGACTACATAAAAAACTATGCAATCGAAAACGAAATGTTAAAGCATCCTCAGAGAATGCTGATATCTAGTTTCAAGCTAGAAAATGGAACAGTTATAACTCCTCTGTTCAACTTTTATATGGAACTTGGATTGCAGTGCACCAAAATTACAGTTTTATTCAATATTCTCCTTGGAAATGCTTTAATAATTTCGTTCAGTCAGTGGTTGATGCTAGAAGAGAAGGAGATGAAAACCCTTAGTCAGGAGTTGTAGCAGAAACAATGAAACTTTTGGGTAATTCTTCGTATGGATATCAGATCATGGATATATCCAGGCATACAATCACGAAATATCTGAACGATGAAAAACTCACAAGGCAATCAATGAACCATTGTTCAAAAGATTGAATACAGTTGAAAAGACTTGTATGAGGCTGAGTTGTTGAAATCAACCATTGAACATAGAGAACCCATCATCGTTGGATTTTTCATACTGCAGTATGGGAAACTGAGAATGTTGGAACTCTACTATAATTTCTTCAACGAATTCTGTGATGCAAACAAATTTGAAGAGTTAGAGATGGACACAGACTCGCTTTACTTAGCTCTTGCTGAAGAAAACTTATACGACTGTATCAAACCAGATAAGAGAGCTGCCTGGGAAAAATGAGGAAAAATGACTGCAGAGACTCTTTCAAGGCGGATGCAAAATCAAATTTTTTCCCTCGAGCGTGTTGCAGTACGCATAAAAAGTATGATAAAAGGGAGCCGGGACTGTTTGAAGAAGAATTTAGATGTACAGAAATGCTATGTTTGTGTAGCAAGACATATTGCTGCTATGACAACAAGTCCGATAAGTTCAAATTTAGCAGTAAAGGATTAAATAAACGGGTTCTAGAAGATTCTGGAGATGGTCCCATGTCAAAATACAGGAGAGTGCTTGATGAAGCAATTAACCTTACATCTACTAACAGCGGATTCAGAACTATAAATCATATGGTGGCCACATATGAACAGACAAAGAAAGGACTAAGCTATTTTTATCCAAAAAGACAAGTACAAGATGATGGAATTCGTACAAAACTATTCAACTTATAGGAACTGATCTGTTGGAGTAAGTTTATTCATCATGTCGTGTTATATTGGTTTTATGATATTAAAAAGTAAAATGTTGCGGTAAACTTGTTATACAATGCAGTGATTTATTTTTGTAATTAAATTTTTTTTCTCTCAAAAAATTTAAATTTTTTCGACGTCTCTCTAGGTTTCAGCATTGTTTCAGTTTGATAGAAAGTAAGATTATCGTTTCATTTAGATAGAAAGTCAGATTATCTAATAAATTAGGTCAAATAATAGCTAATCTTATCGTGTTTTGAAGTTTTTTTGAAAATTTTTTCATAAAAATTCTAAGTTTTTATGGTGACAATAGTTCTGATACCATTTTTCGCATCATAACAAAAAACTTAAAAAAATTTTAATGAGCTTTTCAGTTGACACCTCTCTAAAATCAACATTTATCCGATCTTCAGTTGGCGACGGTCGCACTGCGTCTTAACTGCACAGAGTTAATTCGACTGATTTAAAATAAGTAACATCGAGAAGTTAATTCTTCTTCTTCTTCTGCAATCAAAATTGATTTTTTTTCTTCAAACATACTTACTTCCAGTTTATCAAAGAAGTTTATCCCACTTTCCTCGCTATAAATATACCATTCCTAAAAATTATTTTTCATTCTTTTCTTAGAACTTCCATATTTACCTATAGTTGCTATCTGCAATTTAAGGCAAAGCTTACTTCACAACTCCTGAAGTTGTCAGAACGACGATGAAAACGGATCTCGAGAAAAAGGATCTCAAAAAAGGGTGATTTTTCTCCAGCGGAAAAATAATCAATTAAAGAGCAAAGTTATAAAAAAATGTTTGAAAAACGTATGAGCAAATGTTTTAAAAACATCTGTTCTTCTACGCTTCATTGAAATCATTGACAAAAACTTAGCAGATGATTCAAAAAAAGTGTAAAATTAATAAACTGTCAAAGATTTGAAATTTTTTGTCCTAGCAGGTCAAAGTGGCTTCATTGCTTGATGTAGCAAAGTTTTTTGTAGCAAACCTTCTCCTTAATTTTCAAATCTGACCAATAATCGTGTTTATTGCAATTTCAGCTTTCTTTACTGTTCAACATAAATTATATAAAATAGATATTATTATAGAGATCGATATTTTCAAAATATGTTCTCTTTTACAATCGCCAATGATGTGGTTGTCTTCAGCTATTTCCAGAGATTTGTTGGAGAAAACATTTATCAGAAGAAACTAGCTTCGGAGTTTATCATAATTTCCTTTAAGTTTAGCATTGCATGGGAAGGTTATAAAAGATAATATCATGTGCACGGATGTATTCAAATGCACAATTCTTGGTATGCCATTTTGTGTTATATCTAATTCCACTGGAGGATTCAGAGGGAAGCTTTTTCTCTCTCAAGGGTTTGAAACTAAGGTACTATTTTGAAACCCCTCTTTTTGGTTGACCCACTTTAAAGTTTGTCCAAAGGTAAAAACTTTCCAAAAAGGACCTGAAACCTCCTTTTTCTGCCTGTTTTTTGAAAATTTTGCCTGCCATGTAGAAAATCTGGTCAAAATAGGGTCTTTACAGTGATTTGGCAGAGCTCAGAAGTTCACTTTGGTGGACCGAAAAAAAGGTCAACAAAAACTTCGAAACTTTTTTGAAATTCCACCCCTCGGGAAAATCCCAAGGAAAAACCACAAAGATATACTTAGCTGATTTCGGTGAGGCCAGTCATTCTTAATTTCTCTGTAACTTTTTTTCGTGGGTTTCAGTGTTTAGCAACAATCTTTTGAAAGTTTCCTATTTCTATAAATTTGAAATTTGAGTTTTCATTAGGATCATTTTAGCTTTGAGCAATTATTACTCCTAGACAAATGACAACTTTGTCAAAATCCAGATACTTGTCAAAATATCAAATCAGTTAAGACTGATGGCGCGGCGCGTTTGAGGTCATTTTATACATATTTTGAATGTGGTGTCAAAAACTGTTCAAAATTTTGTTTTTAAGAGTAGGGCGAACTTTTTGGAAAGTTTAAAAAAACGCCAATCTTTTAGCTTCACAGAGGAGTTATCTCGGCAACCGATGCCGCTGTAAAGTATATGCTGTTAGTTATTACCACCAACAGAAAACTTTTGAGAAAACGTTGGCACGATGGAGGGGCCGATCACAATAATCGAGCAGTCGTGGGCAAGTGGGTTAGGCACATCTCTCTTAACACGAGGGTCATGCGTTCGAATCACGCTTCGGTCACGGCTGGAGGGGTCCCAGTGTCATCCGCCTCCTCAAGGTGGGACCGGCTGCGGCAAAATGGATGACATCTCCCCCTCCCCCACGGTTGGTCCTGCACTGAGCAGGCCGGGGGCAAATAAAAAAATCACAATAATCCATACATAACTCACTACCTTTAGAGCGCTACAACTTCAGCTGTTACCTTTTCTGGTCAGTTTTTGACTAAAATATTGCAATGAAAAATCTGGAAAAACTGCATGCGTTGGCTCTCAAGTTTGAAAATTGAAATCAATGATTCGCATTTTTTTAAATTGATCATTTTGAAAATTTTAAAAGAAATATTTTAAACTAAGTCAATGTACTTTTGCAAAAAAGGTTTTGCTCTATCTGTTTCATTCTGTTATTATAAAAATGAATGAAAGCGAAACGGGACAGCTTTGAACGGCGTCGATGGCCAAGTATGGACAAGTCACAAGTGAACTGAAGGACTGCAATAGAACAGCATGATCAATGGTTGATGAGGCGTGAAATCTGGCTTCAGCTGTAAACTTGTTTTGCACTCGACCACAAAAATCAAACTCGACATATTGCAAAAGTATATCTCGGTTGAATCATTTCATCTGTTGTTGAGTGTAGATTGTGTGTGTTTTATTCCTGTTTTCCAATTACTGATTTTCAATTATTTTTTTATTTTTCAAATTCATTGTTTGAATTGGTGAGATTTTTTGAATTGAATTAAATTTTTAATTCATTTAAAATAAAGAAAATAAATTTATCATAAAAATTGCATTTTTTTGTATATTTCAGTTCAAATTGTGTTTTTATTTAAAGTTTTTTAACCACGTAACATGAAACAAAAATTGAAGAGAGAATTTTCTCTCTCAATTTGCTTGCTAGTTAAAATAGATCTTGTTAACTATTCCCTCCCCCCCCCCCCTATGGTACCTTGTAACTAATATACCCCCTACAAAGAAAGAATTGAGCAGTTAAGCATTACGAGTTTTGTACCTTGTTAACTATTTCCCCCCTTTTGCAATGGGGGGAATATTTAACAAGATCCGTTGAAATAGTTACACTAACTAGCCGCTATTTGCATCTCTAAATTTTGATCCCACCTCTTTATCTGATTTTTCCTCTTTTTCTTCCTGTTTACCCCTTGTCAGGTCAATTGGGAAATGCCACTCAAGCGAAGATGCTACTAGTTGGAGTGAGTCTGGTTAAGACTGATTACTAGCTTGACTAATTGCTTATAACTCTTATGAAAACTCTTCACTTAATAGGGTTAAAATCGAATAAACAAGGAAAATTTGCGCTGAATGATTTTTTTCTAACTCTTTTTGCGGAAACATTAAATTCATTGATATAGAACTTAAAAAGTTCGCATTCAATACTTCACAATAAGACTGAAAAACTTTAACTGTGATTAGTTTCATGATCTACTGTTTTTCTTGGGCATAATTTTATTAGAATTTTTTTAAATTATAGCTGCTATTATAGGGCATATCCAAAAAATATCCACATTTTGATTTATGCAAGCTAATTATTTGGTGTCAGATTCTGATTCCGTTTCTTCTTTAATAACGAATTGCTAATGAGCTCCTGTGATCAGTCTGTCGGCTGCAACCCTCTCTTGTGTGTTACAATAACTGTTAAATGTAATTTAAGTTTGAGGACTTCGCTGGGTCCTAAAAGTTCCCAAATTTGTTCTAACTTCGGTCAGCGTCGGTCCAGCTGCGAACGGGTCCAAATTCAAATTTCAAATTGCGAACCCGCTTCCTTCCCAGTTACTCAATACCGCGCTGCCCTAGTCAAATTTCCCCCTCTTGTAATTTTACCCCTACACGCATTCCTTTCCATTCAATAAACCCTCGTGTTCAAACAAAATTAGCCAATCAAAATGCAGTGCTGATTTGCTGGGCGAATTGTATTAAGTACACAGAGCAAGCGAGAAAGGAATTCTTTCCATTCCAAATATTTGGGAAATCATTGGGAATTTTCTGCAATTCCATAAACGAAGCTTTGATTTCGATTTCAAAAGAGTTCCTTGTATGTTCAATCATAGGCACTACGCTTGTACTACAATCGACGACTCAGTTCAAAATTGGGCGCGCAATTTCAAAATTTCAAAATCATTCCGTAAATATTTTCCCAATAATTCCATAAATTCCGAGGCACAATAGACCCAGTCTCATTTCTTTCGTCCGGCTTGTTTGAACCAGTTGAGTGAGTTTCGAGTCTTTTTGTGGCTTTTTGATTGAATTTGTGGAACGAAAAAAAAATCAAAATTTCTCCAAAGTTTCCCCTCTTATTTGCTTCAAAATAAAACCTGCGTTATCCATCAAAAGCGTTTTTCCTATATTCATTTCTCAAGAATTTGTTTTGCGTACTTTCAATCATTTGTTTTTTTTTGAACGCGTGTTTTCGTAAGTAATATATTCGAGAACTTATCGCGAATAGTCTTGAAAATCTTTGTAAATGATACTTTCAAGATATCTCTGAAGTTTTTGCTTTTTTCAAGTTGACAATCTTCGTTTGATCTGATTTTTGAGAGGCATCGTAAACACGAACACTTGACTTTCGAGAGTCTACCATTTTATAATTTATAATAGAACTTTTATTCTGCAATTTAAACCAACGAAAAATCTCACCTGTATAACTTTTAGTTATTATACCAATTGCCAATTACACCAATTCTACGTGTAATTTACAATCAACTTAGTCTGAGTTATAATTGCATTATTATTCAAAACTCACTGTCACCGCGAGTCTCAGTTTTTATTATCTGAACAAAAGTCTCAAAGCTTTGTTAAGAGAAACGAGATATCTGTTTTTGTCATAAAAAATTGATTTGTTTATTTCCCTCTTTTCGTCAGTTCCAGTATTTACAAAAGTTGACTTAGAAAAGACTGAATTATAATTGCAAGATGGTGTCTATTCCACATGCTACTCTGCACCCTCTGATGCCCTACACGCCTGGGAGTCCATCAGTGTCAGCTGCCATCAGCGCACAGGTATAAAGAACGTCTCCAAGAAAAATAAACCTTTTTTTTGCAAAAATTTTGCAAAATTTTTCTCTCGCTTCTTGAAATTAACGAACTAAATACTTGAACTTTTTGAAAAAAAAAACGAAAAAAGTCGCGCTTCTAAAGATCTATTTTAGAAATTTATCTGGTCAATTATGAAAAATATCGAAATTGCATAACAATTTTATTATATATTTTATGTTTTTTCCTTCATATTTTAATTGTTTTTTTTTCAGACTCGGCCAAATTCTGTTTGTTGACATCCATTTGTTTATTTGTTTCAGATGAGTCCCTCTAGTATCCCCCCTCCCCCTGGACAGAACTGCAGTGCGGCCAATCTGAACCAGCTGCTGTCTGTGGCCGCACTCCAGTCCCTCCAGCCATCCACCCTCCAGTACCCCTCGCCCCCCTCCAGCGAAGAGGACGTGAAAAACAGGTGAGCATGAAAGTACAAGTGAAGATTTCACACGCTTTGTAAAATCTTACGCGCGGTTTTACTATCTAAGATGCAGTGAATAAGTCCAAGTAAAATGTATTTTTGCGATTCGTTTTCCTAGTTAACCGAAAAACTGATTGCAATTTTACCGAACTTGGTTATGTCAATTAGATTTTAAAAAATTAATTTTTCGAAATAATAAAGAAGAGAATTCAGTAACTGATTTTAAGAAAATATTCTTTCGGTAATTATGCATGTTTTATTTCCAGGAAGTTGTTTGTGGGGGGACTTCCGTGGACCACTACAACTGAGACTCTGAGGAGACACTTTGAGCAACATGGGGAGATTGAGGAGTCGGCTGTCATCTTCGACAAGGAGACGGGCAAAAGCAAGGGATTCGGATTCGTAAGTGCCGACCAGAAGAAACAGAAAGCATTCTTGCTGTTTCCTATAGGAACTTCTTTTATTTTATCATAATGTCCAGAAGTGTTATCTCGAATTAGCCAACACAAAATCATTCAGTCATAGTTTTTTGAATATAGAACTGTATTTAGTCGAAAAAGTTTCGATATATAAATTTTTTCATTATTTAGATTCATAACCATTTTCTGTTCATTATCTCCTTGGTCGATATGGAGATGGAAAAACTAATTTCTACACGATGTCTCATTTGTTGTGTTTTCAGGTGACCTTGAAGACGAAAAAACAGGCTGACGATGCCTGCAAAGATCCCAACCCACAGATAGACGGACGAAAGGCAAACGTGAACCTCGCCTTCCTCGGCCAGAAGCCCAGAAACCACCCTATTCACAACAACCACAATAACAACAACAACAACAACAATAACAACAACCATAACTTCATTCCAGGAGGTACAAAATTCTTTGTTCACTCAAAACTCTTTCATCAATAACTAATCTTTATTCATTTTTGTATATCATGAACTATATCGAGAAATGTTAGTCTACCATAATTTGAGAAAAACACTTTGAGCTTGAGCTTTGATAAAGCGTAGGATTTTTTGTAGCCGGAAGGAACAAACTAAAATCTCAACACCTTAACTTAGATTTTAGACAATCATCCGAAGCAGGGGCGGATCTAGGTTTTTCTCGAGGGGGGGGGGGATTTTCAAAAAAGTTTCGAAAATTTTGTCAACTTTTTTTTAGGTCGACCGAATTGATTTTCAGAGCTCTCCCAAAGCACCAAAAATACCCTGTTTTGGCCAAATTTTCTTGGCGCCGGAGGCAAAACGTTTTTTTTTGCTTGTTTTTTAAAATTTTGCCTCCGGCGCCAAAACAGCCAAAACTTTTTTTTAGACTTTTTTTTGAAAATTTTGACCAAAAAGTTGCCTTTTTTGGCGTTTCCTCTTTCAAAATTAGTATATATTGGCGCCAAAGGCGCCTTTAAGAAAATTTTCGGGTCCGTCAGCCAAAAATGGATGTCTCAAAATAGTACAAAGGGGGGACCTCTTGGGTTGGCAGGTGGTCAACTTCCTGTGGGGAGGGGGGGTTCCGTTTCTCTTTTAAATCCGCACCTGATCCGAAACTAATCATCCAAACTACACATATTTTAAATTTAATGAAAAGAAAAGTACCTGAATTAAATTTTTAATTCCACTTTTTTTGTAACTAACATTTGATTTTTATTTGATTTTAACTAACATCTGAACTTGATTGTTGTGGCAATTAATTGTTGTTTGTTTGTTTCAGGAAACTTGTTTGCGTTGCAGCCCCACCACCAGTGTGTTAGGTCAGGGGGTTCACACACCCCTCCCAGTCAGAACTTATTCGGGCTAATCTCCACCCCACCAAACATGAAGTAAGTATACGCCATTAAATCGAATCTTAAACATGAAAACTATTTGTTGCTCTATTGTTAAGGTTAATCATATTGATTTTCTGAGACACAATTTAGGCTAAAATATCTATATCGAGGACGTTTTAGGCATCTTTCGGACGGTTTTGAGCAAAAAAAAAAGATTTTGACTATTTCGTTATGTGAATTTTCAATATTATTGCACAAAATCTAGATATTTATGTCTGCTTTTGTTGTTAACATTTCTTTTCATTTTTGTTTGTCTTGCTTGTTTTTGAGACACTAATCAATATTTATTCTTCCTTGCAAGTAGAAAGAGAGCGGCGAGTTTCTTCTTTGTATGGACAGCACAAGGTTCCCTTTTATGCACAGATCTCGCCATGACACCACGGGAAAAAGTATCCCCAAAAATCAATTCACACTCGAATAAAAAATCGGTACTGAAAGAAAAAGTAGCGTAAAATGAACCTTTCTTTCATTCTATCATTTGTACCCTTATGAAAAAGAATTGTTTAAATATGTTTGAAAACTCAAATAGGATTTTTCCACAAGTGAACGAGAATTCATTTGATGACAATAAGTGTTCATGCCTTACAGTTGAATGTTATCCCAAAATTATATTCGGTGAAAAACCCTTTCAGTGGGCAATTAATTGATTGGGACTACCAGGTGTGCATGACATGTCATCGGGTGAACTGTAGTTGCATTAGACACCAGATATTTTGCCAACCTTTCAACCTTAAATTTATTGAATCACTTATGTAAGGGCAGAAATAGTTTCTAAAATGATTCAACTTGGATTGAACATGGTTCCGACAGTCGCATTTTTGAATGAAAATGCATGTATTATTGCAAATTTAGCAATAAAATGAATGGGAACGGATCTAAGAAAACGGATGTCATAAAAATAATCTCTGAAGAGTGAGGCGTCCTCCCTAAATCCTCCCCTAAAATGAATCTGAAAAACTGTTTTAAAGAAACATACTACAGCCAATTTGACAAAAACACATGCAATCGTCGTTATGAAAACCACTGACCCGATAAATAAGCCAAATCGCACGAGTTATGTTGAAATATTTGTGAATTTGAGAATTTCTAGATGTCATTGTCTTAGCGTCGTCAATTTCAACTCTCTTTTATGTCAACTTGATATTTTCAAAGATTTTAAATTTTTTCCAAGGTACTGAATTCCAGCTAACTTTTCATGTTGGTTTCAGTGTTGCATCAAATGTAGCTCCTGGTTTGTTCACTGGATACCAGCTATTCACCCCGGCCGGCAACTACCACCCGGTCGCACTGCAACCCACCCACGCAACTCACCAAATGATGGCACCCTGTATGAGTCACGCTGCCGCCCCCTGCCCCGGGGGAATCCACTCCCCTTTCGGGACCCCAGGAACCCCGCAGTATATTAACCCGAACACCGCCAGTCCCCCAAATACGAGCCCGCAACACATTTTGGAAATGCAACTACAACAACATCAGCAGAATCTTCAGGCGTCGCTTTTAGAGTCCCCCCAAAATGAGTACGGAGCGCCCTACGGATTGACAGCGATTCCTATCGCGACGACCAATCAGTACATCCCACAGAATTTCATCCAATCACAATCGAGCATTTCTGTTTCGCACACTGCTCAGTCGCCGTGAAACCTGATTGGTCAAAATTTTACAAAAAACTCTAACTCATTGGATTTGGGTTTTGAACAAAAAAAATCAATAGATTAATATGGGTTTTTGAACCCATCAAATGGTTAAATCGGGCTAAACTCTGACTGAATTCTTTGATTACTTTTCATTTGTTCTTCACACATTTGTTAATCAATCAAACCCTACGATTGATGTGAACTTGACGCTAAACTTTGTGTTAGAAGCAAAACCAAAACCTATTTTCTCTTGTAATATTTTTGATATTTGTAAAAAAAGAACAATTTCCAATTTTTGATAATAACTTGATTATTATTACATCATGTGAAATTGAATAAATTTCGCTTTTTATAGTAACAATTTCATGTTTTAGTGCAATAACGTGTAAATTCAATTGCATATTTTGGTCTATTTCGTTTAACTAATTTTTTAGTATCCTCATTAGTTAAATTTTTAATTGTCCTAAAATTGGCCAAGTTGAGCTCTTTAGTTTTAATAACTGTGCCTTAATATCTCATTGTAATAATGCGAACATCTTAATAAGTCATAATAATTATTTAAATTTAACAAACAGTTTATTTTTTGCTCAATTTACATTTACAGCTCAATTATTGTTTTCAATCTTTTTATTTTCCACCTGAACAAAGGAATAACTCTTTAATTGCGCTATGGAATTCCTTTGGAAATTTGCAGTTTGATCCAAAATTGTTCTGGAATGTGAGGACTCCAAATCAGAGTAAAGGGACTCTAACTTTTGGGAATCTATAGGGGAATTAGACAAACAATTGATAGCGTGGGTATTTAAAATCCAGTGGAAAAATGCGCCCAATTAGCTAGAGTGGATTTTAAGGGATGAGTAAAAATTTTAGACAATGTTTAAGAAATCAGGCTCCTATTCTTCCTGTTTTCACCTGGGAATTTCAGATGGCGAGGAAGTTATTAGCTCCCAGCGGTGAACTACTAGGACCGAATTTCAACACTTTTTCAGGCAGGGGAGAAAAATCAGTGAGCCAAAGGGAGACAGTGAAATCAGATCAGAATGATGTTGATAAAACGCATGCTTTGGCTATACTGAATTTACCGTAGGAAAAGAGAAGCCACGCATTTACCGAAAAGTGCAAAAAAGAACTCAAATCCCCTGAAGATTAATAGTAAAAAAGAGAATCGTAGTGTTTTGATAAACAGATGTAACAATCTTCTATGCTATAAGCTACCATGAGGTTATCTCAAAAACTGGTTTGAATTCACTTGGTTTACACATTCAATTCTCATTTGTCAAAAACCCGTTTTCATTTTTTGTAATCATATTTTTTATCAGTCGTTTCTTCAAAACAAGCCGCAAAACAAGGGGCGGATCTAGGATTTTCTCGAGGGGTAGGAGAAAATTCAGGCTTTTTATAGGTCGACCAGACTGATTTTCCGAGCTCTCACAAATCACTATAAAGACCCTATTTTGACCAAATTTGCTGCGCCGCAGACAAAATTTTGAAAAACAGGCCAAAGAGCGTTTTTAGGCACTTTTTTGAAAATTTTGACCAAAAAGTCGCGTTGTTTTTGGCGAGCGCTTCCCCCTCAAATTTATTATATATTGGCCTATAAAAAAATTTAGGATTCGTCAGCCAAAAACAGATATCTCAAAATAGTACAAAGGGGGGCCCTTCGGTTCGGCAGGGGGTCAAATGCTTGAAGAAAAACCGTCTGTAATTAAACGCGAACAAAAACAAATACGCCAAGAAGTAGCGGAAGCCCCCAAGGATGCGATTCCCCCTTTTGGTACTAATTCAAGTCGTCCAATTTGGCTATCCGACCTTCAAAGATTTCTGAAAACGAGATGTATCTAAAAGCGCCTCGTTTGGCTTGTATTTTCAAAAATTTGTCTGCGGCGCAAGTGTTACGGTCAAAATGAGGTCTTTACAGGGATTTAGGAGAGCTCAGAATATCAATTTGGTCGATCTAGAAAAAGGTGGACAAATTTTTGAAATTCAAAAAAATCCTGGTTCTGCTCCTGACACCAAGCTGAAAAACTTGTTCATTTATTCGAATAGTCATTGCACATTCAATGATCATCGGCCAAAAACGGTTCTTGTTTTTTTCTCTCTAAAATTTATAACATGGCTCTTAGTCAAAATAAACTGCAGAGCCATAACTAGTCTGCTTGCATCAGTGGAAAGCCATAACTGTTCTGACTGCTCATTGGCGTTGATGAAATAGTTTTAGCTTTCAAAAAAAGATTTTCAAACAAAACTGAGAAGAAAAACAATGTTTTGAAAATGTTTATAAATTTCCACACATAGTGTGGTATTTAGCGTCTAGTATTATATGAAAAACAACAAATAACTTGCATCAATTCAAGTGGTAATGTTTTTAACCGGAATTGATTACTGCTTACGCGCCAGTAGCTCGAAAGGATACCGCGCGACAACAATCCTATATTGGCGAAATATGTAATTATTGAACTCAAACGCAAACTTTATCAAAAAAAAGATCGCAGGTGAAAACTAGAGCATGGAAAACGAAAATTTTCATATGATACAAAACTCCAAAAATGGCTTGAAAAACTCAAAAACATTAAACCTAAGCAACTTGTCACTTTTTCCGAAGAATCATTATACGTTCAATATTCATTTGGCAAGAACCTGTCATATTTTTTTCCAAAACACTATCAGACGTTTCGTCAAAACAAACAGCAGAACGATAACTAGTCTGCTCAAATAAGGGCAAAACCATGATTTTTTTACTGGCATTTTACGCCTTTAAATTAGGTTCTCATAATTAAAACCAAGAAATTTTCATTAAAAAAATTTGAAGAAACATTAAAACTTTTTTTGAAAGTTCCCCTACAGATCTACAAAAAGCACAGTATTGCACTTAGCGTCTAGTAGCATTTTAAAAAGACCACACAACCTGCTTTATTCAAAGTGTTTTTTTTTAACTTGATTCATTCACCATTTGCGCAATAGTAGCTCATTAAACATTTATCGGGCGGTATTTATCCCATGGTATTGCAATTGGCCATTTTCAAACCCCCAAATTCTCAAGCAAAAACGACAGGCGGAATAGATATGTTTCTACTTTTGATTTTGGGAAGCAATAAAGTAAACAGAGAGAAAAATCGAAACAACAAGCTTCGATCATTGCGATGTCCAAATGGCGATGACCAAAAATTCTAGGTATTTTGCCCCTGTTTTGGAGGAAGTATTTGCCAAACAACTTTCCTGCATTGTCATTAAGAAGAATTGGAATGGTCAATTCTTAAAATCCTTTCCATTTTCTAGTAATTTTTCTTCATAAATTCTAGCTTTCCTGATCAAAAAAGAGAGCAAAACAGCCTAGTTTCAAGGCAAAACCCCCGAGTGGGCAGTACTCTGAGAGCATTTAAGGGCGTCTATTGCATTTTTTTTAAATGATAATCTCAAAAACCTTGAAAATCTCATTGTTTTTCCAATGGTCTTTGCCACATTATATCAAGTACAAGAAGATGACATGATTCTCGTTTAGTTATGCGTGAGTGGAGCCAAAAAATTTAACTCAATTAACGGTTTTCAGGAAATCTTGCAAATCGTGCTAAACAATAATCCCAAATAAGAAAAAATCAGCAACTTTTAAACCCCGTTGACTTCGGATAAAAACTCATAGGTTTTTTCTCCATTATTTGGCTCGTAGCATCAAACATTTTTAGATCATTTTAAAAAATGGCGTGCGTCAAATGTGGCTATTTCAGAATTCGAAACCTATCTGGAGAAAAACAAACAGTTGAGCATAAATACTTCACTTTCTGCCTATTTTGAAACAAAGAACTACTACACAAAAAAGTAAGTAAGTTGAATTTCGGTAGCAAATAATAATGGAACCACCTTGAACTGTAACACTCAAATAGTCTTTGATCTAGCTAATCAACACATAGTACTATTAAACAAAAAACGATGCAAATTTTGTTTTAAAATGTTGAGCTTTGAATGGTTATACAGCACATCAGCTAAAGATCTGAAAAAAGCAAGAAAATGAATTTTGGCCGCAGTTCATTAACCTATGGCAATAACCTCTACTTTGCTATCAAGTATTGTAAAGATCCAGCTCCGATGCACGATTTTAAAAAATTATACTTTTGTTGTCAAGTCTTTTCAGATCAAGCGTTCTAAAATCAAGATTGTTACGGCCAAAAAAGTTCATTTTATTCATTAATGGAAATTTAATTATTTTTTTTCCACTAAACGACAAGGGTGCAAAAAATCGAAACCAATTTCTCATTCGGAGAAAAAATAACGCAAAAACGCGAACAACCAAACGAAATAAGAAAGTTAGTTATTAGACTATGCATATGGCAATTTAAACAAAGGAGCATTAACCACATTCATCATGCCTTTCTATTAATTTTGTGCATCCTTATAGAGAATTTGATTTTTTTCATACCAAAAAATTTGTCAATGTGTATCAAATCGCGGCCGAACGGTTATTATTTTTACAAAGTAGGCCACGCTTTCGCAATAAAAAGTAAGACCCCAAAACTTCGGCCAATTAAGTAAGCATAAAAAACGATGAATTGGTAACCAACTTCGGGAAACTTGAGATAAATTGAGCAAAGATATACTGCAAAAAAAAAGAGGATAGACTCAATCTTGAGTTTAGAGTTGAGATACTTCGCGTCACTTCCAACTCGTCTGATTGTGTTCCGGACTTGCAAAACCTATTAACATAAGAGATATACGAAAAAAAAGCTACAGCTTAAATTGCAATCTAATTTTTCTCAACAAAACAAGTTGCCCATGTAGTTTAAATTAAGGCTGTCAAAAGCATTGATTTGATGCTGCAAAACATATATGAAATGACAAAACGTAACAAAGAGATTTAATACAAATTCAGAAAATTACTAAAACAGAAAAAACATTATTAAAAGAGAAGAATATTATTAAAACAGAAGAATATTGAACTCGAAAATCTTCTCGTTCAAAAAACTTCCACGGAGAAGCTCGCATTTCTTCAAAGAACGTTATTGACTAAGTTTGCTTCTTTTTGAAACGTTTTCAAAAAAGGAATAACAGTGTTGAATTAAATAAAAACATGAGTTAGAGAGGTTTTGCATTATTTTAAATGACGATTGATGGTGAACAGAATGTTGAACAGCAATGCAGACCAAGATTTTCATGACTGAGTAAATAATCGTTCAGCTTTTCTAGGGATCAATCAGTGCCCATCTCTGAATGTGTCATTTTCGTAGAGCTTCAATAGATAACCCCAAAAAGAATCGATACCATTCGAAAAACATTATTCAAGTAATTGCATCATTTTGCTCCGTATCAGTTATTTCACTAAAATACACACGTACATCATTGAAATTAACCAGTCGGAAATTAAACTGCCTGGAAATTAATCAGTCGAAACAAGAAAGCTGAAAAATCATCGAGAGCAAAGATATCTCTATCAATATCTCTATCTAGCAAAGATATCAATATTTGATCCTATAATAAAACAAAAGTAGAAAACAGAAAATTTTATTTAAGATGGATCAGATTGTTTAAAAAAAAATTTAAAAAAAAATCGACAATATCAAGGAAATCGAAAAAAAAATCTTAACCATTAGAACTTTGAACAAAATTTATATACATTCCGCAATTGTCAACACGTTTGAACTCATGGGACCTCACTTTCACATACCTTAAATCACGCGAAAAAAAAACACATCCAACGCCATAGTCATTTCGCACTATTGATGCTGGAACGAGAATTTGTCTAAACGCAGATTTGTACCACCATTTTTTCCCGGTAAAGATTACTGGTCAACTGGTCAAAGATTACTGGTAAAAAAAAAGATTACTGGACAACAATGTCGCAGCGTGAGGAACACCGTATTACTAATATTTTATTTGAAGAAATATTAACAGTATTTTCTCTTTAACCGGCAACAGTTGAAACTTTTCCCCGGTGTCTTAACTGTCAAAAATAGTCTGTTTTTAAGTCTATGAGAGAGTAAATTTCATTGAAAAGGCATAACTTGTCATTAATGTAAATACATCTCATAGTTTAATTAAGAACAAGTTATGCCATTTCAATGAAATTATTTAAATTACTCTCTCATAGACTTAAGAATAGACTATTTATGACAGCTCAAGCTGTAAATACACCCTCATTCGTTTAATCGTAAACAATAATTCTTCAGAGGAAACTCATTTGTAATTAGGGAAGATGGGCCAAGAAAACCCACCCAACATCGCTGAGAACCCGCCAGTACCGATGCATCTACTGTCGTACAAACGCTCTCTCATCTTGTTTTTCCCGTAACATTTTTGGGCCAAATCCTGCAAATCAGGTCACGAATGGTTTTATTTGCCTATTGACTTTGAAAACGAATTCTTGGAATTTAAAATTAACTTAGTTTAAAAAATTGAACATTCAATAATATCGACTCGAACATTGCATAAATTATAAGCTCAACCTAAATAAACTAAAACGGATTACAGTTAGATATATATAAGCGCCATAATGGACGAATAAATAAAGGTTAATTGTTTTCGGAAAAGTTAGCACGGTTAACAAAAACACGTTTGTTTTGCCAAGTTTTGACACAAAAAAATTAAGTTTTTTTCACGTTGAAGTAACCAAGTCTTCTTTCTGAGAGGCTAGTTTCACAACTCGTTTTGAAGTTAGGTTTCTTATTTCTGTTATAACTTAATTATAACTTCTTGTCCAGAACCACGACACCCGAGTAGCTTCTTCCGATACCCATTTGTGCCGGAAGGAGAGTCCAAGCGTCCGTTTTCGGGTTGTAAACTTCAACTGAGTTCAAGTTCTGGTTGCTGTCGTCGCCCCCACATACATATAGTAGTCCGTTCACCGCTACAACACCTGCATTGCGTCGCATTGTGTGCATGTCTGCCACATAAGACCATCTGTTCAATTCCGGGTCGAATCTCTCCACTGATTTGCGAATCATGGGTCCATCGTGGCCTCCGACCTAACACCAAATCGCCAAAAATATCAAATCGAATCACTTTGAAATATTGCATGATAATCAAAATGAAAATCTTCAAAAATTAATCTTCTTGATATTTGCAACTAAATTATGAGAAATCAACCATATATGGCAACTTAAAATTTCAGAAGACATTAATATTACACAGAGGGAAAATGGAGCTTCGCATCAGTTGCGATACAAAAATGAATGAATATGATTACCGGCATATCAAAAATAAAAAAAAACCTTGTCAAAAAGTTTTTTTTAAAGAACAAAAACTCCAAGAACAAAACTACCTGCACCATTAGAAACCTTACAAAGAGCTTTCATAATGCTAAAGAAACCAAACCTTTCTGCTGGACCTAAGCCATCAAAAATTAGCAGACCCGAAAATTCAAAAAAGTACAAACTTTTCAGTTTCCACAAAAAAAAAACCCGACTGGAATCGAACTTCTGGGATTTGACTTTCAACCATGACGGTTACCACTGCACCAAATGCACATAAAACTTTTTGAATTTATAAAGAGCGCAACTTCCGACACAGAGGCGAAGTTGCAGTTCGCATACACAAGCCAAAATATGACCGACAAGGCTACTGGGAAAAACTGAATGAGAAAAACTTTGAGACTACAAAATTTCTGAAGTGACGCACGCCAATTATGAGTCTACATAATTGCTAAGTCACGCAAGCCAACTATGATGCATTAGCAGTACCAGTCAATTTGAAAAGAAATGTACCAATTAACATGACTCAATTTATAGAGCGGACGCATTTTAACTAGCATACGAAAAACTTCATTAAGAACATGCGACCCTGCTGAGGTTCGAACCCTCTTATTTTGCTGCTGGTCTCCTTCCATACCTCAACGATACAGAACCATATCACCTTGAAGCTAAAGTGCTATTTGTAATACAGTAGTGTGCGTTAATATCCTTAGCATTTGCTGTAGCTGTAATTATTCGCTGGTTATTGATCTTATGCACATACTGAATAAGAGCACTTACAAAAAGAGCACTAATATTTGCGACTTAAGTTGGAAAAAAGTGAGTTCGTAATATCACACAAGCTTTGCTCTTGTAAAAAATTTTAGACCTTCGAAGCTGCGCTTCGCAAACATAAGCGAAAATGACAAAAAAAGTAGCTCCATGAAGAAAAATAAGAAAAAAGATTTTATTAAAACCTGGAAAAATAACTTTAGCTAAGGCGGAATCGATCCTACAACCAGTAGATCCATAGTCCCCTGTCCTCGCAGCTGCACTGCGAGGCCTAACAATTTGCAAATACTAGCCACAAAAAAGCAGCTACATATGCTATTAAATTGCCAATGCAATGCAGCAAAAGTGGTCACAAATACAAATAGACATAATTTTGCATGTAAAATTTAGAATATAACAAACAAGCATCCACACTAACTTTGCATGTAATAAAATTGAAAGCATCAAGCCAAACTTTATAAATTATGGATTTCAAAAACATTGAGAGATATATTTAGTTGGAAAAAATCGTAACTCGAATTTTTATTATTTTACTGTTATTTGAAAACAAAATTTTCGATTTATTTGATTTCAAAATTGCATCAACTGTGCTAACTTATTAGTAATCGAAACTCAAATAACATGCTATCAAAAAACCGAACAGTTGTCACAAAGGGGCACCAATATTTGCAAATTAGGTTGAAAAAAATAACGTCGTACTATAATACTACTCTCGCTTAAACTGGCTAGTTTAAAGAGAAAACATAAAAAACTCAAAAAATAGCAAATAAATTGGCAAAAATTCTTGCAACTCAATTACTTGCTCAAAATCGGAACACACTGAAGTGTTTTTTAATATGAGTAAACACGCATAAATTTTAGGCATATTTGGTACTGCGGCAACTAAGTCGACAAAAAGTAGACAAACAGAAGTCCGTCCAAAATTTTTTGACACGCAGACATTTTCTGCTTGCAAAACAAAAACGTCCTAGCCGGATTCCAACCATTGGCTTTGCCTTTAAATGCAGGTGCGTTAGCTCTTCGCCACATGCGCGAATTAACGACCGACTTTTAATTGCAATGCGATTAAGGAAATACAATAGACCCAATTTTGCAAGTAATAGTTTGGAATACAACAAACTGAAGGCATCCACACTAACTCGCAAAGCATAAAGTCACATTATGTATTAATAATGCATTTCAAAAAATTGTGATATATTGAACTCGAGTTTTTCATTATTGTGACGTTGTTTGAAACAAATAGTTTATTTGATGAATTAAAAATGCATCAAATGTGTTAATTTATTACTATTCGGATGTCAAAGCACATGTTTTCAAAAATCTGTATAGGTGCTCAAACAATGGCACCAATATTTGCGACTTAGGTTAGAAAAAAAGGTTCTCAATAATACACCAATTTGACGATAGTGTAATAAACAGAAAAATTGAGTTTCTTATTAAAATTGTCAAAATTAAGGGTTAATTTAAAATAAAAAATTTAAAAAACGAACAGCGTATAGGAATCCGTCGAGTGCACCCACTCCAGCCCCACTCCTCCTGGTGGACATCTCGGCCACATGGGTCCACACATCCCCCTCTGGGTCATAGCACTCCACCACATTCAGACATTGTCTGCTGGCCCCGTCATACCCACCCACCGCATACAGTCTAAACAGAGTGAGAATAATAATAATAGTAATAATTATAATAAAATAATAATAATAGTAATCATAATAATAATAATAATAATCATAATAATCATAATAATAATAATAATAATCATAATGATAATCATAATAATCATAATCATAATAATAATCATAATAAAAATAAAATAATCATAATGAAAAAAAATCATAATAATCATAATAATAAAAAACATTATAATAATAATCATAATAATAATAATCATCATAATCATAATCATCATAATAATCATATTAATCATAATCATAATAATCACAATATTAATAATAATCATAATAATAGTAATAAAAATCACAATAATAATAATCATAATAATCATAATAATCATAATAATAATCATAATAACCATAATGATAATAATCCTATTAATAATCATAATAATAATAATAATAATAATCATAATAATAATAATAATAATAATAGTCATAATAAAAATAATAATCATAATCATAATAATAATAATCATAATGATAATAATCCTATTAATAATAATAATAATAACAATAAAAACAATAGTAATCATAATAATCATAATAATAATAATAATAATCATAATAATATTAATAATCATAATAATAATCATAATAATCGTAATCATAATAATAATAATAATCATAATAACAATAATAATCATAATAATAATCATAATAATAGTAATAATAATCATAATAATCATAATAATCATAGTAAAAACAATAATAATAATAATCATAATAATAAAAATCATAATAATAATAATCATATTAATAATAATAATAATAATAATAATAATAATAATAATCATAATAATAAGAATCATAGTAATAATAATCATAATAATAATAATCATAAAAATAATAATAATAATCATAATCATAATAATAATCATAATAATCATAATGATAATAATCCTATTAATAATAATAATACTAATAATAATGACAATAACAATAAAAACAATAGTAATAATAATAATAATAATCATAATAATAATAATAATAATAATAGTAATAATCATAATAATTATCATAATAATAATAATAATAATAATAATAATAATAATAATAATAATAATCATAATAATAAACATAATAATAATAATAATAATCATAATAATAAACATAATAATAATAATAATAATCATAATAATAATCATAATAATAATAATAATAATAATAATAATAATAATAATAATAATAATAATAGTAATAATAATCATAATAATAAAAATCATAAAAATAATAATCATAATAATAATCATAATAATAATAATAGTAATAATAATAATAATAATCATCATAATAATAATAATAATAATAATAATAATAATAATAATATAATAATAATAATAATAATAATAATAATAATAATAATAATAATAATAATAGTAATAATAATCATAATAATCATAATAATAAACATAATAAAAATAATAATAATAATAATCATAATAATAATCATAATAATAATAATAATGATAATATATTGTTTCCAAGTGAAGTCATTACACGAACAGAATTACAAAAGAAGAGTTCTTTTTACAAAAACACCACTTGAAAGAGCGACAAGACTAAATTTGGGTAGCTGGTTAATATGCCACCTCTAAATAGGGGACACAACATGGAGCGCAGAGAAATCATGGTGACGAAGAGAAGCTATGTTAATGCTTTTATTTTTGGATCACTTTTAAGCTGTGCCTCCCAAAAAGAGCCAAAAATCAAGAAATATAGGGCCATATCACTTAAAATATCTTAACACTTACCAAGATTTTTTCAAAAACATCTTTATGATGTTTTAGTCATTGTACTAAGAGCTAGTGTTTTTGAGTCTGATTTGAACAATTATCTTGGTTGACTCGAGAACTCTTTCACACTCACTTATTGTTACTGACTCCCACTCCAACCGATGACCTCCTGTGAGTCATGGATGCAATCAGACACCACTCACTGGTCTTCGGGTCAAAGCACTCGGCCGAGTTCAGTCCGGTTGCCCCGTCGAATCCCCCCACCGCGTATATCTTCCCATTCATCCTCGCCGCTCCCAGAGTACTTCTTCTCGCTTCCATACTCGGAGCAGGAGACCAGGTATCCTTAGCTGGATCGTACACCTCGACTGTCCGCACTCTCAAACTCCCGTTGAACCCTCCGCACGCATAGATCAACCCATTCAAAGCCACAACACCTGAGCGACAACGTCGACTGGGCAAATCTGCCTTTGAAATCCATCGTTCTTCTGTGAAGTCGTAGCATTCAACACTTCGGATAGCTTTCGGTGCCTGACCGCCAACGACAAACATCAATTTCGGCAATCCGAGCGGAGCTCTCGGTCTGATCCGTGAGCTTTTAATGTTCGCTTTTAGCTCTTCCGTGCACAAATGGTATTTCATAGCTTCAATGAGGAAATCTTTACATTCGTCCGCTTTCATTAGATGCTCTTGTTCTACTCTTTCGATTAAATAATCTCGTGCCAAAAAAGGAAATTTCACGTGAGACATGACTGTAGCTACCGACCTTTCCCTTTCAGCTCTGTCGTGGTTGACCCACGTCACGACAGCTTCGAAAACTTCCTCTTCCGAATTCACACTCAAATTGTCCGAGGCTATTAGATCCGATAGCTGTTCAGCACTCAGTGCCAGGAACTCGTCGCATTGAATGACATCACTGAAATGCTGTTCAGCGTAGTTGTGTGCAGTCGCGAGGAGTTCTTTGCACGAGTGGATGTCGGCAAAATCCCGAAAGCCGAGACAGTTTGTGGGGTGAAGCTGGGACTGGAGGTACTCACAACATGCGTTTCTGACTTCCTCTATTTGAAGAAGGTTTGCAGTCGGGAGCAAAATTTGGACAGTCTCGTCGTCAATTAGAATTTCAGAAGTATACATGAATTCGAGTATCATTTGAACTGCTTGCGCGTCCACTTCCTAAAAATTAGTTCAACAGCGGTTGAAATAAAGTTAACTTTATTATATTTTGTGCGCGAAGTTTCAGATGTGAAATTAAGTTTTGAGGTTGATTCCAATTGCGAAAACAATTGATGAAGCACAAAAAGTCGATAATTTGCAATCTGCTGCAATGTTTGAAACAACAAAAGCATAGTAAAAGCAATTCTTTCATGCCGAAGATATTTTTAACTTTCGTCTTAGCGACAAAATTGACAAACAAATTGTTCAAACAATTCAAAAAAATAAATAAAATATATCGCCTCGCAAATACTAATCGTTATAGTACTTGACAAAATGACGGTTCCTGTTATTGAATTTTGCAAACGCAGCTAAATTTGAGCAAAATGACAATAATATTTCAAAATTATTTATCGCACCTTGTTGAAATCGGTGGTCGAAATCAATTACCTTCAAAATTATGGGGTAAAGTTCACAATGGGGCTAAAAAAAGGCCAATTAAAACAAAAAAAAGAAAAAATGAAAAACCGAATGCTCACATGCAGCATGATTCTGTTGCTGTGACTCTCTGCCAAATCATTTCTGAACATAGCGTAGAAATAGGGGCTGGACGAGGCCAGTACATTCCGATGGCACTCGATCTCCACCTCAGTTCCGGCCACTCCCAGAATGACGTCACAGAGGTGCTTGTTCCTCCACATGTGGGCCAACATGTCGAAGGCCTTACTGGGGTGGTTGGAGAATCTCTGGGGTACTCCCGAGGAGACACAGGACGCAAAAGTGGACCAGCTTCCAGAGGCAGAACAGCTGTACCTCGCTCCTAAAATCCCTCTCAAACTCCAATAAATAATAAATAAACAAACAGAACAAATAAACAGAATCATTTGAATGATTAATTCAATTGCAGCAAAAAAGCTATACAGAATACAGATTTAATCGATTGCATGTAAAAGAGTTGCAATAAACGTTAAATTATTAAAAATTTTCTGCAAGCTTCAGAAAAATTACGAATTGAAATACTTAAGCTGTCACGAACCGTTGGATTGTTAAATCAGCCAAAAAAAATCAAGTTTTTAAATAGCTATTTTGTTGTTTATAATTACACTTTAATTTCAACAATCAAGAAAATTTTAAAAAATTGATATGTTTTAAATGAAAAAATAACTTCGTACGATTAAGCAGGTGACTAAACCGACCTGGATTTCCTTCAGACTCAGTTGCTTCATCCGCTTCACTGAACATGGGAACTGGTACCAGCCTATTCGAGGACAAGCTTCCACTCCTAGATGAGCCACCAGTGAAGTGCAACTGCGTCTGAGTCGGGTTCTGAGGCGCCACATGATTTTGCTGCGGAGGAGCTGCAGACACGATTCCCATCGTCGGCAAAGTCATCGGAACAGTCAACACATCGCCTCCTCTAGCTACACTCTGATTGGTCGAGGACGTAGCTGTCGAGGCTGGAGTTGAGTTTGCTAGCGAACTCGTTCCAGCCTCTGATTGCGTTTGGCTACTGTTGTTCATGGACATTGTTAGTTGATCATATTTTCTCTGTCTTCGGTTAGTAAATGGGAGTGAGTATCGATCCATTAAATGTAAACACACAGGCAAATATGAACTAATTGCGCTGAGTGCTCGGAGTAGAAAAAGTCGGAAAAGGACAGTCAGGGGTCAGGGTCGAATGGGGGCTGGTCTTGTGACTTCAGTCTCGATTAAAATAACATTATACCTGAAAGAAAGAAATACAAATAACAAAAATATAACAATGATTTGCACCATAAACAACATCCGAGGTCTATTTAACCTCATGACGTAATAAAAGCTGCAAAGCTTCAAAGTAGATGTTTCCTCCAGAATGAGACGTATTAAAAGAAGATTCAGGAAAAAGGCAAACAGTGGCTACTTTACCACCAGACATGAATATCAATTAACCAGTTGTTTCACAGGGGTATCGTTTAAATCAAATGTATTTGAAAGGAATGATTTATTGGAGTCCAACTAGCAAATAAAATCTGCGCATTTAGCTTGCACTGATGACAAAAAATTCGATTTTATGGAGAATAAAACCACAGTTGTCAAGAAAACAGTCCGCGTTTTTAAACAGGCGAATCCGCACTTCGCAAACAAGCTGACAAATAAAACATCTAAAAGTTCGAGGATATACAAAATATGCCTTGGCCATTGCCTTAGCCAATTTGTGATTTAACCGATTTATCTCATGCTGTTTCAAACCACTAGACAGAAAATGATGTGTTGCACCAGTGCATATTTACGGATTTCTGTTTGTTGAAATTGAGTTCCCCATTATTTTTTGGCTTAAACGTTTCGGCTTTTTGGTTCAAATGTCTCGGTTTTACATCGGCTTTGCTATTCATAAAACGTCGCTCAAACGTTTGAGTAACATAACCCAAAAAATTAAATTTAAAAAATTGAGATGGCAATTGTAAGACGCCCTAGTTGGTGAAATACAGTCAACAAAAGACGCGAACTTTGGCAAAGTACAAGCGACAAAACGGCTCCGAGTCAATTGCCTTTACAACTAAAAAACAATTTTCAAAATGTTTTGAAAACTGGCATGCTGCCTAACTGAGTCATATTCAGCCCATTTGGTCTTCATAACTTACCTTCTTTTTAATGCGAGGTGAGCGAGAAAAACAAAAAAGCCGTAACAGGTTGCAATGTTCCCCTGCTTATCGCAACGAAATGTAGCAAAACAAATTTTTTGACATTTGGACCTGCAAGTTTACTGATAGGTATGTGAAATTAACGGTAATGATACAATTGACTCGTACCGGAAGCGATTATACGGCGCTACCCACAGGGCAGCCGATTTATCGCTTGGCGCTTCCAAATCGAAGAAAAACCCCTGGACAAGCGCAGTCTCGAGCTGATAGAAAAACGAAGCAGCGCCCGCTCGGAACAACCAATAAAAGAGCTGAAGGAAACAAATAAAGGACAAGAAAAAACGTTCGAAGAACACATCAGATGAGATGGCTGATGCCATGGGCAACACACGAAAAGCATATTCAGTGGTCAAAAGTTTAATTGGCGTCAAGAGCGCTACCAGTGACATGAAAGACAAGTCTGAAAAGGTGGTAACAGAATGGGCCAAAAACTAAGAGAATGGGCAAAAGATTTCAAAAAAATTTCTCAAACGCCCCGCGCGGCCAAGAAAGATAGAGTCAAATTCTGCACCACCATTTACGCCGTTTCCAAGGACAACCCCTGAGAATCTGACCTACTCTATGCAATACACAAACTCAGGAGCAACAAAACTGCTGGTGACGAAAACATTCCCCCAGAACTGTTCATACATGGCAAAAACCTGAAATTAAAAGCCCTATACTGTCTACTTCAAAAAGTGAGAAACACTGAAGAGATGCCCAAAGAATGGAAAAACTGTAATCATCTCTTCGCTAAGAACCTGCGTATTAATCGCATGGAAGAAGAATCAGGCAGGATTTAATAATGGTCGTGGTTGTCGTGATCAAATAATTGCACCAGCCTTCTGATTATTTGCTTAAGCATTCAAATCGACGAAATATCATTGTTTTTGAAAACCATTTATACTGAAACTTACTGCCAAGTCACAGTGTACAATACACTGTCACGATCATTCTTGGTGAAAAACAGTGTAAGACAGGGGCCGGTCTTAACACCCTTTCTTTTCAACTCAGTAATCAAATGGGTCATCTGGAATTTGCTGATGATATTTGTTTACTGAAGACAATGAACCGACGCTTTATCAAACCGAGTAACAACAGAAACAGCAAAACCCGGTCATCAAATCAGTCTAGATAAAACAAAGTTCTGCTCCACAGAAAAAACCTGCAATTTGACCTTCTATCGTTCGAGTAGACAACTTTACCAAACAAGACAGCAACATGCAATTGGACGGCAACATTTCCCATGAAACATGAAACCAAACTGAAAAATGGCAAGGCAAATTATGTGTGGAATTCAATGGCGAGCTTACACAGAAAGCTCAACTATGTGTGAAGTCTCGCAACATTAATTGAGATTGAAAGCTAAAGTTTACAACGCTTGTATTAGAAGTACTCTTTACTAAGGCTGTGAGCCGTGGCCTGTGAAAATTGTAGATGTGGACAAGTTTGAACCTGTCAAAAACTGATATGTTAAATAAATAGCACCGAGAAACTGAGTTGTTCCACTGCATGCGATAAGAGTAATGTTGAAGCTCCAAAAAGTATTAACGAAATTCTTCAAACGAGAAGACTCAAATGGTTGGGACACGTTTTGTGAATGAGAAGAAAAGAAATTCCCAATGCTGCTCTTGAGTTTGTGAAAGCAGAGTCATGGAAACTACTACAAGGTGGTATTACGTAGCTCAAAGTCGTTAAAAACGACCTGAAAAGCAATATAAAGCCGCGAAGGACGTCCATCAAGAGGTGAGATCAGTGCTGGTTTGTTATCTGCAAAGAGAGTGCGATGGACCTCAAACAGGATCTTCGGGATCGTCAAAAGGCGGGTAATGGACAGTGATTTCTGCAAACGCCTTACAAGTAAACAGTAACTGATAGGTATGACCATCAACATTTGCAAAAATGACCTCAACAAAATTTTTAGTAGTAACTGTATCAGAAAGCGGCTGACCTGGCGTTCACAATTGTCAAGAAAATGGCAAGCGAGTTTATTAGGCAATATTAAGCACATTTTATCTTCATATAGAACCTCGTAAAATCAATAGGCGCACCGCTAAACTGATCATTTAGGTTGGTGGATGGGGGGTGGTTGTAGAAGAGCACAAAAATGATAACTTTGAACAGCACATATGAAAGCGTATTTCAGCAAAAATACAGAAAACCATTCATAATAGAAATATCATCGAGATCAAGTGAACAGATTAGAGCAACTTTTCTTGAAGAATAAATTCGTCTATCATAGCCTAATTAGTCCGCATGTCAGTTTTTGTAACACGACAATTCGAACAAAGAAAATATAAATTTCTCAGGCTGGGGAAAGAAAGAGCCGTAATTTTCTGTTTTAACATTTTCAGGTAAGTATACGGCCCTTTTTTCACTTCCCCCGCATTTGATTCTCAGTTTTTTAAGACAAATTTTACGTTGTCAAAACGTATTGACAATTAATTTGCAATTTGAAAAAATTATTCTAAATACTTTTCATCGTCAAATTACGCATTCAGCCATAATAGACAACTGAAAAAATTGAAAGTTAGAAATGTGGGGGTGGGGGGCGGAGTGGGCTCTTTTCCAGTTTCCCCCTTTCAAATTCAATTTTGAAAAGCTTATTTAACGTTGTCATCATGCAATGAAATTTGGCGTGGTGAACAAATCGACAACTGTGAACAGATTTGTTCTTCATACTTTACATCGTAACATCACGCATTTAGCCATAATAGCACGTACAAACATAAAACTCGGTATTTTGAAAAGAGCCGCGGAGTGGAAAAGAGTCAAGTTTACATGCAGTTTTACGACGGAAAGGGAAACTGGAAAAAGGACTCTTGGCTCTTTTTCCTCCAAGCCCCCCCACCTCACACGAGCTTCAATATATTAAAGTAACGAGTGGTTTTACGAGGTTGAGTATGAAGACCAAATATGTTTGTCGTGGCCTTATTAGTCTGTATGTAAACAATCGGACAATGTGGTCAACAAATTTACATATAAAAATTTGCAGGTGGGAGGGTGGAAGGAAAAAGAGCCGGACTCTTTCCCACAATCGCTACTAACCCACGCGGCTCTTTTTCACGCACCCACCCCATCTGCAAACTTTCAAAAGCATTTTTTGTTCTGTTCCGATTGTTACAAAATTTGCATGTGCAAGCATATTAGGTCTTCATACTTAACCTTGTAAGAACCCCTCGCTCATTACACCATAAAACTTAATTCGCCACCCTCCCCAGCAAATAAAGTCCTACCATAATAGAAATACGTTACTAAAGTGTGACTACAAGTTTTTTATCACCAAAATGGGGGATATCATGGAAAAAGCCCTCGTTTGCAATGAATTGATAAAATGGCTTCACTAGTTGTGAATCATTTTATCCATTCTGGTAATAGCAATTGAACTAAATCTTTAGAAATGCACGTTTCTATACTAACAACTTTCCTTCCGGAGCAGACAGCTCTTGAAATAGACCAATTTGCAAAAAGTCACCCTCAGCTCAGCCGAAAATCATACAACTGCAAACTGACTTTTCACTTTGACGATTGCGGATATTCAGTAAACAACTTCTGCTCAGCTCCATAAGAAAGCTGTCCTCAAATTATTGCGAAAACCGCATTCATTCTTAATCCAATTTAATGTGTTAAGATTATAAATTGAAATTATTTATTGGACTCACTTAAATTTCTTTACAATTTGCTTGCCTCTTAGATATCTCAAAAATGTTCTGCGATCTTATTTCCCGAAGAGGCTTGTTGAGGTGGAAAATCAAATATTCTTCTGTGTTATTCAAACATCTCTCATCGTTTCCCAAATCAATCACTCGCAAACAGCTTTCACTCTTCTTTCTGGGCGTGTTCGTTGTTGTGCACTTAGTATGGGCGTTTGCTCCTTGGATAATTCTGGAACTTCCTTTGGATCTCAAAAACTTGCCATTTAGCCTCTACCAATTCAAGCTCAATTCATTCCTGAATGGACAACAAAAGGCTCTTTTCTTACTTACTACCCATCTTAATTTCAAACTAACCATATTTGAAATACTAAACTCTTTGATATATATCAGTATCACTCAAGATCACTTAAAAATTTTGGGCTCTTTTTCCTTTTATCAAAAAAGCAAAAGAGATCCGGTTTAACTTCATTAGGCATCAAAAATAGGACTCCCCCAATTGCGAATTCTTACAGCTAAAATTTCGTTCATATATTCTGATTATTTTCTTAAAATTGCATGCGAGCTACTTGGACATCATATTAGGCGAACCTAATAATCTACAAGATCCACCTTGTAAAACTACTCGTTACACCATAAAATTTAGCGAAGGTGTATGGGAAAGAGCCTATAACAATAGCCTTTTTTCCAGTTTCCCACCCTACCACCCCCCCATCCCCCGTAAAATGACAAAATAAACCTGTTCACATGGCATTTTGCATGTCAGAAATATTGTAAAAATTCGTTCAATTGTTCACGTGACACGTAAAAGCATTTTTTAAAATATGAAATGTCATTTAAAATAGACTTTCCTATATTGAAATTCAGAAAAATACAAGGGGGTACTGGAAAAGAGCCTCGCAATCGAACAACAGTACCCCTCCGTGTTCATAATTGGGGCCATGAAGTGTGGCACTTTCACACTGGGCCACTTTCTGCGACAACACCCTGACCTGTATGTGATGAATGAACAGGAGTACTTTGACAAGCGGTTCTTCAATGAGACATTCGAGTGGTACAGACGCAGGCAGCCATACACCACTCACGACCAGATAGGTTGGGTAGGGGAGGTTGGGTAGGGGAGAAAACATGAAATAAACTTATCCAGATCACCCTAATGTGGGCCCTGCCCGGTCTATTCTACGGCTTCGTTTCATATGTAACGTTTGACATTCCCCCACATTTCAAATTTTCCATTTTTCAACTGGGCTCTTTTCCAGTTCCCCCCCCCCCCACCTTTCAAAATACCGAGCTTTATGTTTGTTTTACGTGCTATTACGGCTAAATGCGTGATGTTACGCTGTAAAGTATGAAGAACAAATCTGTTCAGAATTGTCAATTTGTTCACCATGCCAATTTTCATTGCAGTATGACAACGTTAGATAAGGTTTTCAAAAATGCATTTGAAAGGGGGGGGAACTGGAAAAGAGCCTTCAACTGTTTTACGTGTTATTTTGGCTGAACGCGTGATGTACGAAGTAAGGTATGAAGAAAAAATGTGTTCACAACAGTTAGTTTGTTCACCATGCCAAATTTATTTACAATATGACAACGTAAAATAAGTATTTCAAAGTAAACTTCAAATCTGGAGGGCGGGGAGTGGAAAAGTGCCCATTCGCATTTTAACCCCCTAGCAAGTCACAGTTCGCCAACGGTAAAATCGGCTCATTCCCACTCACTTCCCTTCCCCCACCATTTAAATTTTACAGACTTCAAGTTGTTTTACTTTGAAATTCATTTCAAATCCAGTTGCCTCTCAAAAAACTTGCCTTGCAAATTAAATAATCTCAGACTAAAATCTAGCTTTCCATAGCACCACACTTTAGTAGTTTAAAAACCCGATGATGATTATGACTAATAACTCCATCATATCGACAACAAAACAATTTCTGAGACAAAATCATTTACAATGTTCACAATTTCAGTGATTGACAAGACAGCCGGCTACTTCTACACGTCAGTGTCCCGCTTCAAGAACTACCAGTCCTTCTTAGTTAGGAGACACAACCGCAGTCTCAGATACGCCGACATCCCCGAGTACATCAGCTGGAGACCCCACTCGCCCGAGGACACCCCCAAACTCAAGTTCATCCTCATCGTGTGCGACCCAGTGCACAGGGCAGTGTCACACCACGAGATGTTTAAGGGCTCTTTTTAACATTCGCCATGTTTTTTTTAGCATTTCGAAAACAAGTCCAAGTTCAGTAAAAAAACTTATCGCCCCCAACAAAAGAGTGATAACTGTTACTGTAATTTGGGAGCCAACTTTTTGCCTAGAGATAGATAATTCAAGAGATAATCGTCGTCATTTGAAGAAGCGAAAATTGATACTTGATTCAAAAATTGATAAAGCTTGCAATTAAGCAAGCATAATACACATTATACATAGCCAACAGACCAGGCAGTTGGAAAAGAGTCATGAGCTCAGAGAAACAGAAAAAATACCGACTTGTTTTTTGAGGAAACTTCAATTTTCAAACTTCAAAGAAAAAATAGATGCCCTTAAAGCTCCAGGAATTTCTACAAAAATTTATGGCCGGCGCTTTTTTGATAAAACTAACCCAATTGGATCAACAAGTAAATTTTCTATTTTGCTTGGAAATCTGAAAATTAACTTCCATTTTCAAAACTGAACTTCAAAAGAAATTGAAAGTCAAACCGAGAAAAAGTAAATTTCAGCCTGAACAAAATTTAAGACTTTTCCTATAAAAAAAATCGTCATGACCTCTGTAAAAGTTTAATTTACATTAATCGATTCCTAAAAATTGATGCAAAAGTAAAAAGAGCCTAATTACAGTATTACAACTGGGCTAACTTAGACCGGGAACAGGCATTCCGTCTATCATCCGAGCCCAATATTTACACTGTATTCAGCAAATACGGACACTACATGGCCAAATGGCTCAAATACTTCGAAAAGTCTCAGTTTCTAATTCTAGACGGACACAAACTCAGACATCAAAATCCAGCCGTTTCCCTCAACGATGTCGAAAAATTTCTCCAAATCAAAGACTACTTTCGCAAAGATCATTTCGAGGTTCGTCCCGACGGGAGATTTTATTGTCACAAATCGTGGTTTGGGTGTGGTGCTTTGGGTAAAGGGAGGGAACACGAACCACTGGACGAGAATTTGGCCACTGAACTTACTCAACTTTACCAGGCTGATATGGAAAATTTCACAGAACTCACTGGAATTTTGTTGCCAGTTAATTCTCGCATTCGCTGATTTGCTAAACTGAACTTTTTCCGCATGCAAAAAAGAACTCCTTCATGTTAATGTTGATTCAGTCGTAGGATTTGTCAATCAAAATTATGAATCAATTCAATTTAATGATTTGATTTATTTTGCTAGTTATAAAAACCAAGACTCAGATGTTTATAACGTTTTAAAATATCAAATTTACTTCATTATCATATGTTAAATCAACCAGCGAGATAAACAAGTATTATTCCAAGAAAACTCTTAATAGTTAAATTAAACAATTTGGTTAACTTTAACTTTCTTTGTGTTAAATTATTAGGTCGCATAGAAGCAATTGGAAAATGTGGACCTGTTAGATAAAACCGTTTTTGTTTCAGAAATATTCTCCGCCATCTATAAGTAAAACCGGCAAAAAAAATACCGTTTTTTATTTATAAACAGAGCCAAAGCTGTTGAAAAAAGCTGAAAAAAAAAACAGTTGGCAAGTTAGTTTCAAAGAACTGGACTGATTATCTTATGAGTCTCGACGAATGTAGTGATGTTTTTTTTTCAGGAAAAGCCTGAAAATTTGTTCAGACTCTAATTAGATTTTCTGCGGTTTGACTATTGATTTCTATTTAAGATCAGTTCAATTTTTCAATCAAAAAGACGGTAAAATCCAATAATTTTCAGATTTCATATCGGAATAAAAAATTAATCTTTTGATCCAGTTTTCTCAAATTGCAATAATTTTATCAAAAAAACACCGTTCTAGAAATTCAAATAGCTTGAGGAGCCTCTTTTTTCTTTGAAATTCTAAAGTTAAGTTTTTTCGAAAAACAAGTGAGTTCAATTAATCGTTTCCGCAGGAAGGTGAGTTCCTGCGTTCATTACTCTTTTCCAACTGTCAGTTGGCTATATTTCCAAATAGGAAATCTGCAATTAATGTCCTTTTTTGAAAAGGCACTTCATTATTTGAGAGCGACATTTGCCTTCCTATTAGCAAAGGAACTGGAATTGAAGTTGAATGAGATCCTGACTCAAACCACAAAACAAAACAAGTTTTAACGACCAACTATAAAAGCTTTTCCCTAACAAAAAATTTATTCCCTCGAACCATATTTCTCGAAACAGACACTTTTAACAGAATCCGAACATTGACTGAAATAGCTTTAAAATGATACTAACCTCGATAGCCAACAAGCGCTCGCTGAGGTTCTCGCAATTCTATTGACCAAAAAACACCCAAGACCAAAGGTCGGGATCAACGAAGAAAACACAATTACTTTTCCTTTCAGAGATAACTCTCAAAAAGTTGCACATTCACCGAAGGCCAACCAGACAACATCATTCATACTAAATCTATATGTTGTTCGTCTTTTGAAACAAAATTTGTGGTCGGGCAACCAAAATAAAACGCCAAAAAGAAAATCCAAAAATTACGCAAAACCTATCTTACAAATCTCAACCACTAAATACATGTTTAAGCATTAATCAAAATTATAAGTGTGATCTTTTTGTCCGAAGTTAGAAAAATTGGCATCCGAACTAATTAGGTCATGACAAAGAAACTTGTTCTTGTGTTTAACCTTGTATAAACCCCTCGCTACACCATAAAACTGATGCTTATGGGAGCTGGTATGGGGGGGGGGGGGGGAGAGAAAAAGAGCCAAAGTGACTTTGAACAGCAGATCTTTACACGAACCAGACGCATCCAAAAGCTTATCTAATCAGTTCTCGGAAGCTCGAAAAGGCAGAACATTTTCTTAATAAAGCGGATATAGCTTGTTTCATCAACGCAATAGCTGTTTCGCCTTTATTGACCCGGTGCCTAATCTCAAAAACCGAATTGTATGTTAGGTGTTTTATTTATTTACTGGTTCGAAATAAGAAAAAAAGACTATTTATTCTTGCACACGTATTATGTTTTCTTACTTATAAAAGACGCGAAACTATTGAACAAGTAAAAAATATTACATGTACTGTTAGACAAGTAAAATACGGGTTAAAAACATGCTACTAAACAAAAAAGAATGTGCTAATAATTCGAAATTCGACATTTATCTCAATTTCCACGTCAGGAAAACTTTCATTATCATTGATCGTAGGGAGGCCTTAACACACACATGATAAATTTCACGGTAGTGCAATTATCATCCTATCATGAGTTAAGTCGGTCACAGATACTCCACACGCACACACAAGCGTCTTTTTTGTTCCGACCATTGAAAATGGGGGGAGGAACTTTTTAGTCGGGTGTGTTTCAGTTTTTCTTTTTTGTTTTCCACGCAAAATCAGACACTAAAAATAATTATGGGAATGGGTTGAGCGATATATCATAATGAAAGCCTTTCAATCGTGATTCAAATGACATTTTTTTCTACTGTTGAGAAAAACCGTTTTAATTTTTTTTTTCGTCTAATTGCGAGCGAGTGAGCAGGCTTACGTTAGCTTATTTATGCTTAATTTAAGCCTCGAAAATTTAGTTGTATTCAAGTGAAGTTAGTTTTTGGAGTTTTTAGCATCGTATTAGGTATCAAAAAGATCAGCAAAATATTCAGAAATAAAAAAAATTGATAACATGAAAAAAAAACTTCCATTGTTTTTAACTTAAAGCCAAACTTTGCAATAAAGCTTCTTGGGTTGGAAAAAGTGGACAACTCGTGTAACCCTACCCACGCAATTTTGCTTGAGTAATCAATTTTCAAATTATCAATTTTCAAAATTTCGAAATAAAGGCATGAAAGTCAGTCAATTTCTCAACAGTACACAAATCAGAATGGTAAAAATTCAAACCTGTTTTTCTCGACAGAAAACGATCTTCACTTTTTTCGAACCCGTATCATGAAAAAACACCTAAGAGACCAAAGTATCATTTCGTCCACTACTATTTAATAACTATTTTACGAGCTGGCTTTCAAAACAACTAAATGTTAGATGTACACTAAGCACGTTACTTGGCCTGGCAAACAAATTAATTTTAATGTTGACCATGAATAAAACACCAAAATTTGGTTGAATTTAAGTTTTAAATTTCTATTTTTTGGGCATCAAAAAATCAAATTAATTTTCAATCAATGCGGACAGCTCCACTTCATTCTTCACGTTTCCTTCGTCTGATTTGTCATAAAAAACTTTCTTCTACCAAGAATGGAGAATTCTCCTCTTCCTTAACTTATCCAAGAAGAACTGTTCTCTCTCATACCCGTCAACTCGTTTGAAATCTGAACACGGAGGCCCCTCTCTCAACAGTAGTTGGATGTTAGAGTACCTCCGCTTAGTGTGACCAAACTCATTGGATCCGTCTTCCGGAACTGAAAAAGAATCATACCATTTATTTGCAAACGGAATCATTGCCGCTTTTTCCATAGTTAGCGCTTTAAGATTTGTTTAACGTCGCCAATTTAGCCCGCAAAAACTGTCAAAAACAATATTCCGAGCCGAACCTGCAGACAGCTGCAGGAATTATTGTTCACAATAGTGCGCACACGACTTGTACATTAATTAGCACCAAGAAAATCTCGAGATTAGACTGCTCTTTCTTTCAAAGCTTGGAGTAGTTGGTTCAGGTTGAGATCAAGACTTTTTTCTTGGATTAGTTAATGTTTTTTCAGAAGATTTCATTATGAGCATGCAGTTTCAAATACTCATTCAACACAGTGTTCACATTGCCAATCAGATATTTAAAACTCATCTTTTGAATTCAACACTTCCCCATTGACAAAAGAAATTCGAAATTGAAAAAACAGTTAATTTGCAGACATATTTTTGTACTGCATGCTTAAACAATATTTTTACGCGTTCAGCAGCAATCCAAAGCAAAAATCATGAAGGCAAGAAACGTAATGAAAAAAAAAATGCGATGAATTGAAAATGCCTAGCTTAGTTGCTACTGTATTACTAACATTTGAAGTGGTGTTTGATGCCCTTTTCGAGCTTGCTTCTCTGGGCTGCACAGAGAGCCACGTGAAGGTTCCACTTGAACTCAATGTGGTGCTCCTCTACTGCTAATTTCTAAAAGGAAAGCAGCACAGTCAGACAAAGCCCAAGTAATTCAACCAGCTGATGAAAAGGAACGAAAATAGAAAATGAGAAAAATGTTTCAACAAAATTCTGCAAACTTTCCTTTAAACTTCAGTGTGTTATGCATAATATTTTGAGTCTCATGCTTTTCATCCCTCCGCCACGTTTTTGACACAGCGGTGAAGCGTAGAAGTGATGCAAGAAAAAATCTGAAAACGAAGTTGAAAAAACAACAGCTGCAAAATCTTCCAGGTTGTACAAAAAGAAGTTCATAAGTAACATGAAAAACTAATTTAAAATAAGCAACCGAGCGGCAACGAATTTGGGCCAAAACCTGTTTGAGCCTAAAACAAAACTTTCGGTCATAAAAATCTTCATAAAGTTTTGAAATTTATTAAACATTCAGTAGTTTTGGAAATTATTAGTCTTATCGCAGGGGTAAACAGCAAGAAAACAGTAAAGAAAACTCAATTGTTTTTAGAAAAAATTATAATTTCGAATTTTAGAGAATTAACTACGGATTTATTTTAAAAAATCGTAATTTTTCGAACTTCAAGGAAAAAAAACAAAAGTCCTTATAGCTCTTTGAGCTTCACAAACAATTTATGATTGGTTCTTTTTTGATCAAACTAAACGAATTGGATCAATAATGAAAATTATTATTTCCCCGGGAAATCTGATAAGTAAACTCAATTTTTGATATAAGAAGTCGATCTCGCTTTTCATAACCCTTTAACTTTTGCTGTTTGATAGAAGAATTTGTTTACCTTTTAACAAAGAAAAAGAAATGGATTTAAAAACGACAAACCGCGAAAAATCAAAACTGGGCCAGAACAAACTTCAAGACTTTTTACTTTAAAAAAAACACAGAAAATCACTAAGAACTATACAAGAGTACTCATTCTTTATAAGAGTAGTTCTCTATTCTCTATAAGAGTAGTATGTAAGAGTAGATCATTACTCTTAAAAAATCAAATCAAAACTTCGAGGAGCAAGTACTACAAAAATTAACACAGAGGCGAAGTTGGGCTTCGCAAACACTTCCAAGAACAAGGCCAAAAAGCAGCTCTATCAAGTGAAATAAGAAAAAGCAGAAATAAACTTCGAATTAGCAAAAACTCGGCTAATTCGAATTTGCGAGCTAGCAAATACGAGTCTCACGCACTAACCACTCAGCCACGGATGCTTCAAATGTCCAAAAAATAGCCACCAATAACGCAGCTACATATGCTAAAAAAACTGTCAATTCGATGCAGCAAAAGTAGCACCAAATACAAAAAGACACAATTTTGCATGTAAAAAATCGGAAAGTATAAAACCAAATTATTTTTAAATTATGCATTTCAAAAAAAATTGCAAGATACTTTGAGTTGAAAAATTTCTGAAATCTAGCTTTTTACTATTGCACTGCTGTTTGAAACAATTTTTTTTCGGTTCATTTGATGATTTAAAAATGCATCAGCTGTTTTACCTTTTTACTAATCAACTGTCAAATCACATGCTATCAAAAAGATGTAAAGGTGCCCCAAAAGTGGCACCAATTTCTGCGAACTAGGTTGGAAAAAAATAAAGTTCGTACAAATACACTTTGCTTCGCAAGTGTAATTAAGAAAACGACATCTGGAAAAATAAAAACAAATGGGCATTCTCAGATTTAAACTTCAACTTGCAAATTTATAGTGGAATTTTTACTATCAGCACCTATATTGATACAAACAAAAATGGCAATCGAAAATATTTAGAAACAGTTTCACGGTTTATGAAAAATCTGGAACGAAAATTATTCACAAAAAAACAAGAAGGACGAGACTCAGGTTTTCAGTCTAAAAAGGCAACCTTACTAGAGAAAAAACCAGCCAGGTAAAAACCAACTGTAAATCAACCACGTTTTTATTAAGCGGTCTATTTTCTTTTCTCCAGGTGATATAAACATAAATTTTTGACACTGAAATGAGTGGTTTCATGTAGGTTACGTGTGAAGAAGACACATATTTAAAGCTAAAAAAACTGAGCAATTTTTACTAAATGAGTTGACACAATGAGACTTATATGTTTAAGACACAAAACAGCAGGGGAAAGAAAAATAACTTGTTACCATAGCAATTACCGTTGAAAAATACCTGGTTGCCAGAGCAACTTGTTACTGTAAATTAAATAGTGTAGTTCTGCTAATTTGCATATAATGAAAGCAGTATCTTTTCAAGCACCCACACTTGATTTTTTCAAACTGTTTTTTAAATTCTATATTAAATGACTCTTGCTGTTACGACTTGTAACGGCAAAATTCATCTGAAATAACATTTACAAAGTAGTATTCCAGAAAAATCAGAAGGGTCAATGTAAAAGCTGAACAAGGGACTGACCCCATCGGTTATCCGACCCATAAACACCTAAAGGGTCCCTCATTAAGAACTCTGTACAGCCGTTTTTGAATAACCAGTCCAATTATTTTTCTAAACGCTTTTCCTAAACTTTGACACAATGAGACTTAACTGTATAAGGAACAAAACAGCAGGGGAAAGAAAAATAACTTGTTACCGTAGCAATTACCGTAGAATAATAACTTGTTGCCAGAGCACTTGTTACCGTAAATTAAATGGTGCAGTTCCGCTAATTTGCAAATAATAAAGCAGTGTCTTTTCAAGCACCCACACTTGATTTTGTCAAATAGTTTTAAATTCTATATTAAATGACTCTTGCTGTTACGACTTGTAACGGCAAAATTCATCTGAAATAACATTTACAAAGTATTATTCCAGAAAATCAGAAGAGTCAAGGTAGAAGCTGAACAAGGGACTGACCCCATCGGTTATCCGACCCCTAACCACCTGAAGGGTCCCTCATTAAGTACTCTGTACAGCCGTTTTTGAATAACCAGTCCAATTATTTTTCTAAACGCTTTTCCTAAACGTTGACACAATGAGACTTAATTGTATAAGGAACAAAACAGCAGGGGAAAGAAATATAACTTGTTACCGTGAGCAACTTGTTATCGTAAATTAAATGGTGCAGTTCCGCTAATTTGCATATAATGAAAGCAGTATCTTTTCAAGCACCACACTTGATTTTTTCAAATAGTTTTTAAAATTCTATATTAAATGACTCTTGCTGTTACGACTTGTAACGGCAAAATTCATCTGAAATAACATTTACAAAGTAGTATTCCAGAAAAATTAGAAGGGTCAATGTAGAAGCTGAACAAGGGACTGACCCTATCGGTTATCCGACCCCTGACCACCTAAAGGGTCCCTCATTAAGTACCATGTACAGCCGTTTTTGAATAACCAGTCCAATTATTTTTCTAAACGCTTTTCCTAAACGTTGACACAATGAGACTTAATTGTATAAGGAACAAAACAGCAGGGGAAAGAAATATAACTTGTTACCGTGAGCAACTTGTTATCGTAAATTAAACGGTGCAGTTCCGCTAATTTGCATATAATGAAAGCAGTATCTTTTCAAGCACCACAATTGATTTTTAAATAGTTTTTTAAATTCTATATTAAATGACTCTTGCTGTTACGACTTGTAACGGCAAAATTCATCTGAAATAACATTTACAAAGTAGTATTCCAGAAAAATTAGAAGGGTCAATGTAGAAGCTGAACAAGGGACTGACCCTATCGGTTATCCGACCCCTGACCACCTAAAGGGTCCCTCATTAAGTACCATGTACAGCCGTTTTTGAATAACCAGTCCAATTATTTTTCTAAACGCGCCTGAACACACGAAATTTAAGGAATGATCTCGCGCCAGAAAACGTCATCTTAGGCGGGTTGTATTTGAAACTCCTGGCAAAATAGAGTTTTTTGTGTGTTGGGAGAGATCTGAAAATCAATTTGAGGGAAAGAGATGCCGACAAAGTTCAACAGGAATTTTGTCGGACTAGTATGGGAAACCGTAGGATTTTTTTATTAGGGGGTGGCTATAATTTGCTGTAGGTGGCTTTAAACAGGAAGGGTGGCTATAGTATTTTAGGGGATGTCTAGAATTTAGCAGGATACTTTTCTGTAGGAGTTCTCACACAAGCTTGTTAGCTTTCAAAAAAATCCTCGCTAGACGGATTTAGCGCATTTATTTATAAATATCATGTACTTCAACCCCCCTCCCCCACCACTATCCAAATTCAAATGGATTAAAATTAAAACATATTGCAAAACGAAAGAGGCTATAAAAAGTACTCTTTGATACTAGCCTGGGCATGTTGCAGTGTTTCTTCTATGATTCTAGCTCCCTTCAAGGGCAACACAGACAGCTGAGCAAAGGCGTCTTCTATCCACATGTTGCGTACAAGGTGGCAAAAGTAGAAGAGCTTCTTGGGCGAAAAAGGCACATTGCTTCTGGCTAAAAAGAGAACGAAATTAACTTCCAGAAATTGTAGAAGAGAATCTCGTATTTGACTTTCCGATCATTGAAAAATTTATATAATACAAGTTCAGACTACTTATGCTCCCACTTTATCAGGGTCGCCAAATTTTTGATTCAAATTTTTCATCAGCTCAATGACAAATTTCACACCATCAGAAAAATCTGCTGGAAATAGTATACACAGAGTGATATCCATTAAAAATATATATATTTTTTTAATTTCAATTTATTTGAATGTGAAATTATGAGCCCACTCAATTCAAATGAAAAAATTTAAATTAAATGGAACAATTTAAATTGAAAAAAAAAAATTGAATTGTTCGCGCGGTATTGGATCTGACGCCAAAGAACTCAGATTAGTAATGTCAATTTATTTCACTTTGCACAGTTCCGAGGAAAAAGCAAACAATCTAAGTTTTACGACAAAATTGATTAGCTTTTGTTGCAAATAGATATGCCCAAAAAATTTCTTTTCTATTTACTTTTTGAAAACTGCGAAAAGTACCCAAAAAATGGCAGACAAAATGCGAAAACCAGACATCAGAAAAACTTATATTGCTAAAAAAAATTAAATTGAAGCCAACAATTTTCCTCAACAATTTGAATTTAAATTTCAATTTTTTAA